CATTGCACTGTAAAACTTTATGCTTAATATTAACAAAGTTTACTGGGAAGACAAACTTTGACTTTGTTGCTCATAAATATGGCAAAATTACAGTGAATTTGAAGTGCAATAAAATATTTTAATAAAAATATCACAAAATACCTAACAGAAATTCTTGAGAGACAAGAAAGTAAACAAGACAGTAAAATTCCAGCAAAAGTTCAGAAGTTTGTTAAATCCCTTTAGTTCTTCGCCCGAGTTAACTTGGGCAGGTTACATAGCCTTACATAAAACTCGGTCCTTTGGGTCCCCCAAAAAATTTTTGTTTTTTTTTTTTGAATTTTTGGAATGTTTTTTAAGTCTCCAAATTTTTTCAAAAATTTTTACCCGTGCAAAAAAATTTTATTGCGATTTTAATTAGCCTTTGATAAGGCTCGATTAAGGCTTAATTGTTTTTTAAATTAATGGGATTTTTTTATCAAAATTAATTAATCGTTCTAAAGTTGTAGTGCACGGATTTCCCTTCAGTAAAGTTATTTAAAGCTAGTTTCTGATGTCAAAAACGACCTCCAATAGTTTTTTAATTAATAGATTTTATTATGTATACGTTTAATTAAGTCGGGGGGGTCTGAAATCGCAATTAAAATTTGAATTTTTTAAAAATATTTAAAAATATACGGCCAGATAGTATTCACCCTACTACAAACCCTTCGCCTCTCGAGACTTCTATGAGAATGTCCCGGGAAATCCGACTCCAGCTGTGTAAACAATGACTCATCGGTGTCAAATTTCGCAGAAGGCGAGACAAAGGAAAATAAAGTTTGAAGCTTTTTCTTCAAAACTAACGCATTTCTTTCGTTTTTTTTTCAGTTTTAAGTATTTTTTATGTTTAATTACATTAATATCAAAAATTGCTGGGAACTAAAGGGGCTAAACATTAAAATAAAACATGAGAAATTATACATATATACGCGAGTAAAACATTTTTAAAAAACTTTTAAAAAAACATACCTCAAAAGCACATATCACGAGCGTACAGATGTCGTACAGGATGGACAGTTTCATATTCTATATATCAAATGGACAATAAACAGATTCGAAGCTAACTGCTTGACGACAGGGCTTTCGAATATGACGTTCTGGTTAAATTCCAGATACGTATACCGTCATGGCGGCTCATCTCTGATTCCAGCAAACAAAAGAAAGGAAACAGTGGGGACGCACGTTCTAACCTAACCTATTCTAATAAATTACCATAATTATTACCAACCAAATTACTACAATAGGTTAGGTTAGGTTAGGTTAGAACGTGCGTCCCCACTGTT